AATGAACCTAGTGAACTAACCTCAAAATAATAATTGTTTTGATTACTATAGGGTATCAGCAATACCCTTAGGAATTAGTTCACTACTTACTTATTAGTTTTATGTGTATATTAAAGCTAATACATCTCATTGAGTGTAACATAGTTTTTCTAGAAACCTACACCTAATGATACAAGTATGGTAAATACTTGTACACTTCATTTCAGGATCGTTAACCAACTATTAACTTTTAAGGAAAATATGGGTTTTTCTTGGGATAACTTAACTTTCATAAACAGGTTGTTTAACAAATGGATAATCAAACTCCTTTTATAAGAAAATATGGGATTTTCTTGGGTAACAACTTTTCATAAAATCAAAGGAACATTTTCTTTCACCAGAATCAACCACTTATGAACTCACCAGCTTTATGCTGATATTTCTAGAACTGCTTGTATTCTCAGGTCAACCATTGACAGGTATTTCTACCAAATTTTGGAGAAGACGGAGCATATAGAAGTCTCATCTTTACTTTTGATTATATTGATGTATATAAACTATGTTTTCAATGCTTTAAAATAAATATGTAATGGTTGTGTTTACTATGCTTACTATGTACAATGGTTGTGATACTACACATGACGTCCTCCACCCCAGAATGTTTCCGCCGCTGGTTTCGAAGTGTGACAGGACCAAAATCACTGCAATAATTTCTGTCAGTTTGGCCTTGGGTCTGTTAAGGCTGTGTACTTATTAAATATAAATTATTTGTAGCTATTTAGGAGTTCTAGTTGTAGATCTTTTAGTGTATTCGGGTATTAAAGGTATTCTTGGTGTACTCGACGATTTCATCTAATAAATTGTGTACATTGAGCGTTTTTTTGTATGTTCTTGAATCACTATCTGATTTAGATTCTGCATTCTTTAGATAGTTTGATTGATATAGTATAGATCTAAGTGTTTTTGGGACTTAGAATTGGTATCAGAGCTTTAAATAGTTATCAATCGATTCAAGGACCTTGGGGACTCGCTTTTAGCTCTTTTGAGATCATTGGTGTAATAAAAAATTGATAAGTTTTGATATAAGTTGATAAAAATTTTGTTGTTCATTGATTAACTGTTCTTGGGATTCTCAGTATTCATCGTGTTCTTCGTGAATCTTCATCTCAATTTTCGGGATTTATTTGTATCCTTATCAATTAAAATCACGAAATTTAAGGGTTGTCGGTGACTTCCTGATAAGAAAGCAAGATTTTCATTTCCATCATCTTAAGGGTTTTCGATGGTTCTTGGTCAAAGTTGAAGGTTTTCATTCAATGTTCTGGCCGAAATATGTAAAAGAAATACGTGTTAGTTTTTAGTTCTCGACCGAAATCAATAGTTTTCGATCAATATTTTTTGTTGTTCTCAGTCAACGCCTTTTGGAGTTTTCATTCAAACTGTTTGACTTTCTTGGTTTTCATTCAATCTTACCGATTACAAAATCAGATTACTTTTGGTAAATTATGAATTTTTCGAACAACACAAAAGAGGCTAGTGAAACTTTCTGTACTCAAGCCTCTAGTGATACAATTAAACGTTATCACAATCAACATGATTTATTAATCACGGAAGATAAGGACCTTAAATATGAAGGATATACTCTGAGAAACGCCCAAAAACCACTTAAAGAAAAATTAGAGGCCCAAACCAAAGATCTAAAAAGAATTAAGGAAAAATACAACACTAAATGTGATCACTACGATTATGCTCAAGAAAAGATTGCTAGTTTAACTGTCGAGCTTGACACATTGAAAATTAAGTTTGAAAATGCAGATTTTAATTTTAAAAAATTTGATTTGTCAAGTAAGAAAGTTGAGACAATGATTGAAAATTAACTTAGATGGAAAGACAAAAAGAATCTAGGTATAGGGTATGATAGTGTTCATCCTCTGTTCAATGATAACTACACTTTTACTCCTATGACCGAGGAAGAAATAGCAAGGGAAGCACATCTACTGTATGGAAAACCTACTATATTAGAGATAGTAAATAATGATAGTGTGAATGATACTAATTCTTCTACCTCATGTGTAGATAAGGTCACAGTGCAAGATGGGCATAACCAGAACAAAAATAATTCTAGTTCTGTTAAAAATGATCCAAAAATGTGTGATGATGATACTGCTACTATTGAAAATCTCAAGCCACAAAATTCTATTAAACAGTCTAATAAATGTTCATGTGTTTGTGCTTGTGGAAGTTCCTTGAAACAGACTTCATTTGGCAAAGAACCAACTCACAATCTTATTTATTTGAAAAAATAGACTTTTTTTAACTGTGGGACTCCCGGTCACATTGGTAGAAATTGCTCACATCGTTCATATGTTCCCTACTATGAACAAGGATGGCAGAATGTGCCAATGGGGAGATCTTCCAAAAGAAATCCTTTGAGGTCACGTTCACGTAATGGTGATTGGAATGCTAAAAGGGCCAAAAACCATACTCCTAAGGACAAAAAGGGCATGTCGAACAAGAATCCTAATACAAGAGATGGTTCAGCCAAACAGAAATCAGTAAGGCCGAAATCATCTCAAGGGTCGTCTTCTAGCTCAGACTCACAATGCAAGCCTAAATCGAAAGGTTTTCACATCCCAAAGGTAAGTGAAAAAAGTCCTATTCGGGCCAACAAAAAAGTTCAAAAACCTAATTACCAATAGGTTCCCAAAGGTTACATTTCAAAATCATTCAAAAGTCCTGTAACTTCTTTCTGTTCTTTTTCTGTAAAAAAGATATGTCATGGGAAAGATTATCTTGTGTAGATAGTAATGGTAAATCCATTTTCAAAATGGGTTGGGTCCAAAAATCAACTAATTCCGCACTCTGTGCCAGAGCAACTATGGAGGAATATCACCAGACTTCAATATGTTGATTGTGGTTGTTCCTAGAATATGTTAGGGGACATCTCTATTCTGCATGCCATTCAGAATTTTAATGATGAGCATGTGTCCCTTGCGGGACAAGGAAAAGGAAAGATCACAAATGGGGATTTCTTCAATTGCTAAATTACAGTTTGAATTTTCTGACTCTTCTCTTCTCTGTGATAATAATGCTGATCTTCAATTGTCCAAAAGCCTAATTTTTCTTAAAATCAAGTTCGTACTTGTAGGTTTTCAGAAAATGATTCGTTTCAAAGATTAATTTTTTATTTTGTTTGTTTAAATTTGCGCATTTATAGTATTTCCTTTCTTCCCTATGCACAAATTTAGGTGGAGAAATCAAAAATAAAAAAAATTATAAAATCAAAAATACAAAAAAAAAACTATAAAATCAAAATTTTCCAAAAAAATCTCTTCTTTCAGAAGTGTTATTGGGAAGTGATATGAATTTTAGTGTTAAAGGGCAATATGAAATACGTGTAATACACTGAAGTTGAATTGTTTAAACTTTGTGTTCAATGTGCTAGTAGGCACAATGGATTCAAAATTAAAGGACTTGACAATGTTGACAATAAAAGGAATTGACAATGTTAACTCATCAGGACTTAGATAGTTACATTTGGACTGACCATAAGTAGTGATATAAACAAGGGAGCATGCGAGATACATTAAAGTTACATATCATCTAGAACTGTGGCTCAACACTTCTTCGATGTACGGACTTATGTCTTTAATTCTGGTGCTGATAGGGTTACTGGGAGGTTCTGATAAATTAGATTTGTGTTAAATTGTTTTTCTTTATTATCCTCTAACTCAGTCATATGTTATTCCCTATACGTGATTGGAAGAGATCCAACCTAGGATAAAACATATGCATCTTTATTTCTATGCATCTCTTTATCTATCTTTGTCAGTCATATGTTGTCCCCTTTGCATGATTGGAAGAGATCCGACCTAGGACACAGTATGTGCACTTTTTAGCTCTCTACCCATCTATCTATGTTAGTTATATGTTGTCCCTCTACGTGATTGGAAGAGATCCGACCTGGGATACAACATATGCATCTCTCTATTTCTCTTCTATCTTCCATGATTAAAAACTCACCTAAAGTAAAGAGCTCCTTCGAATTCCTTGATTTCTAGGGTATATATTGAAGTGGGGAACCCATTCTAGTGCCCTTAAAATTGAATTGGTTCAGGACTAAAGGCTAACTGTAGATCTCGCTGCTGAATTTAAGTGGACAACAATATCGTTGGTGGTTGTCAGTAAAATGGTCAATTTAGGAATATAATTGCAATGCCTTGTCACTTATAATATGTCCAACTTGCAAATATCCGTTGTGTTTAGGTGAACCATAATATTGGCGACTGACTAGAGCTATCCATGTAGGTGTGTGCTGTTAAATGATATTAAACTGCTTGACAACTTTTGATACCAAAATTTTTAAATTTAGTTATTAAAATGTGGTTATTTTATTTTATTTTTTTTTCTAAAATTTTATTTTTATTTTTATTTTTCATTTAGTTTGCATTCATTTCAAATGTTAAATTTTAATTTTATTATTTAATTTTGATCTAAGAAACGAATTATGTTGAATGGTGTTTCTTTTGGGGCCCACCGAATTCGGTGGCCCAAGGGCCGAGAGCCCATTTTAGGGTTTTATAGGGGTTTTCTTCTTCAATTTCATTCATCATCATCAAAATCGTCTTTTTCTCTCAAAAATCCAAGCGAAAAAACCCCTTTTCTGTTCACCGTTCATCTGTTCGTATTATAGGCTCAAATCACTATTTTTTTTTCTTTGATTCTCTGCAACTTTGACTAGATATTTAGATTTCGAGCAACATGCTTCGGCTTTTATGCCTTTTCTTGGAAGTTTTTGCAGGTTTTCGAAAGGTTTCCGGCGAGCTTGATGGTGTTTTCCAGTGAAACTGCCGACAGTTTTTGAAATTTGAATCATCGGGTTTTCAGTTTGACCCGAATCCAACCGAAAATAGATTAAATCACCAGAAATCGACATTAGTGACCAAACATTGAATATTTGAGAAAATAAACTTGTAATTTTAATTTTTATTGTTCTCACTTGGCTTGTTTGGTGCAGTTAAATGGCGAGTCAGTTGAAGTTTGTTGATTCTCACAATATCATTGGATATCTCCTGGATCCACCTATCGTGCACAATGAATTCAAATCCATGATCATGGGTTTGAACAGTTGCAGAAGTTCTTACGCTCTACATGCTAATCCAGTAATTCAAGGGAACTCAAGTAATTATTTATGAGCATGTTATCCGAGAAGTACTTGAATTTGGTGATGCACCTGCATTTCCAATTGAGTACTCTATGGATCAAGTTAAAGTAGTCCTTAAGAAGATGTGTTATAAAGGAACCTATCCTCCCACCATCAAGAAGTTGTTGCCACCTTACTGGAGGTTTCTGGCACACTATTCTGTGATTTGCATTTCTAGAAGGAAAGGAGGATCTGATGAAATTAGTTAGACTGCAACCTCAACCATTGTCGCTCTGGCAATGGACTGGGATTACCAATTTTCAAAGTTTGTCTTTGTAGAAATGAAAAGCAATCTCCAGGGGAAGAAGAAGGACCTATTTTTGATGTATCCCAGGTTCCTTTAAATGATCCTGAATGAAAAATATCCCCAACTTGAGAGGTCATTTGATACTTTGGATATGAAAGCCTTGGGTCCCAACACCTTTGAGCTCATTAAGTAATCAAGAACAGCTACCAAAGTCACCTATCATGGATTGAAAGAGTTAGTTAAGTTTGGAAAGTTTTTTGAAGTTGAAAATACTTATGTTGCTTGTTCCATTAATGCTGAGATTCCCAAGGAACACGTGGCACCTAAACCAAAATTTCAATTTTCATTTAAAGAGGTGAAGTATATGATGATGGAGAAGAAGAGGATCAAGAAAAGGATTTGATAGATAATGAGTTTTAAGAATTTCTACAAAGTATCTCAATCCTTGATGAGGATGTTTGTATGTTTAAATCATCGAAGGAACCAATCAATGAGACTATGATTTCTCCTACGGAGATAGAGAAAGAAATCAACATTTTCAAGCAACCAAACAATCTAATGGCTGAACAGATGGAAGACCTTATTGAAAAATTACAGTCTACTATGAGGAAGCCTCCCCAAACAGTTCATGTTACAACTGAACCTCCATTTGAGAGTGATAATGAAGATTCAGCTCACATCCATCTCCTGAGAAAACGAAAAGAAGAGATCCAAGACTTGGAATGCTTATCACCGACCTTGATCAAATTGTATCTACTCCGATTGAGCCTAGTTCCGCTCCAATAATGTAAGATATTTCAAGCCCGTTACCTAAATCCACTCCTATGTGATCAGGATTTTGAAAGCCCTATTCTTGAACAAGAAGTCTTACCTTCACAAGGGGCTCAAACTTATGGAAGCTCCTTTGAAGCCCCCGAGCTGGATATTTCAAAAGGAAAAGGAAAGCAGCCTGAGTCTAAATTTGTAGATGTCTCTCTGCTTCAGAACAGAGTTTTTGATTTGGAATAGAGCTCTATTGAAAAGGATTTGATTATTAGAAAGCAAGACATTAGAATCTGTAAGCTTCATAATGAGAACTCCATTAAAGATGCAAAGATTTCAAAACTTCAAGCAAATCTTGGTGGTCTAACTGCTTTATTCTTTGACCTAAAACAACGCTTACATCAAAAGTTTGGTGATGATTTTCAACCTTTAAGCAGTGAAGGAGAAAACATTTCGGATTCTAGTTCTGGTCCAGCCAATCCAATTTCCCAATCTACAATGAAAGAGTTGTTAGAGCTGCTCCGGATGCTAATCTTGACACATTTTTGTCTTCTGGTCCTACTTTTGCACAAGAAAAAAGGGAGAAGCAAATCACAATTGATTGGCTAAAAGGCAAGATGCTAGTGATGAATCATTTAGACCAAAATACTCCAGGTGATCACTTTGATATGCTTTTCAGGGAGACTTGGAAGAAATTTACAGATAAATATGGGACCACTCTGGCATTTTGTTGTGGGTATATGATGCTGATAACAAAATGTGGATCGTAAAGCATAAGAGCGGACAAATTAAGTATTATGAGAAGAAAGTCAACTTTTTGTCCTGGACAAAAGTTGATCTTTCTGAACTTATTCACGCATCTTTCCATAATCCAACCAATGATCCCATGGCTTAGTGTTTTAATAGTTTTCTTGAGGATAAAGCTAAAAATAACTTTGAAGGCGTCAAGACTGCTTCATCGTTTACGAAAAAACTCCAAGTATGTCATTGATCCTTGTACTAATAATACCATGGTGAATTTTATGTGGCCGCCTACAAAGCAAGCTAATAGGATGCCACCTCCCAAACATTTACCGGAAGGCACTTTGCACTCAATGAAATTATGGGTTTATGATGAGGCTACCGCATCAGTAGTGATCAAGTTGAAGAAGAACCCGTATTGCATTGTCGATCCCAAAGACTTGTTGAATTTTTTGAACGTGATATTCAAACTTTGTCAAGCTTTCAAATATTTTTTGAGAATGAATTGTTGAAGCTGCCAAAAAAGCATTCACCAAAATGGTAGCTACCATAATTGACAAGAAGTTGTGGGCTGGGGAATTTAATCAGGATGATGTTCATCTTGTGGAGAATCCATAAAGTTAGCCGGCAATAAACCAAATGGGAGATTGATGGGTCATATTTAAATGCTTTATGTTGGGTTTCTAGTCTATTATTATACTTGGGCTTAGAAATAGTGGGCTTATGGAATTTTCGATTATGGGGACTGAAATCACTATGGTGATTTAGGCCAGCTTGGGCTTGGGCATGTTAAGGCTTTGTACTTGGTATATAAATTGTTTTCAACTGTTTAGGAGTTCTAGTTGTTGATCTTTTAGTGTATTCGGATGGTAAAGGTGTTCTTGGTGTACCAGATGATTTCATCTAATAAATCGTGAGCTTTGAGAGTTATTTTGTGTGTTCTTGAATCACTATCTGATTTATATTCCGCTTTCTTTAGATAGTTTGATTGATATCGTATTGAACTAAGTGTTTTTAGGACTTACAAAAGGCAAGGTTGGTTGCAAAGGGTGTTATTCAAACCTAAGGGGTTGACTATGACGAGACATTTTCTCCAGTTGCCAAGATCAAGTCAATTAGGGTAATGCTTTCCATAGCTGCTGATTATGAGTATGAAGTAAGGAAAAGTAATGTTAAAACTACTTTCCTTAATGGGAAACAAGCTGAGCATGTTTACATGGCTCAACCAAAAGGTTTTGAACATGCCAAATTCCTTAATATGGCGCAAGCTTGAGAGGTTTATCTATGGACTAAACAAGCATCTTAGAGCTGGAATCTTTGCTTCCATGAAAAGGTTAATGATTTTTGGATACTCTAAATGTAAAGATGAGTCTTGCGTGTATGTCAAAGCTAGTTGGAGTGTAGTGACCTTCCTATTCTTCTATGTGGATGAGATGCTAATAATAGGAAACGATGTTCCAACTTCGCAAGAAGTTAAGTCTTGACTTAGAAAATGCTTTGCTATGAAGGATTTGGGAGAGGCTACTTACATTCTTGGTATAAGGATCCATAGAAATACGCAAAAACATTTGATAGGACTTAGCCAGACTACATACTTGGATAAAATATTGAAACGGTTTAGTATGGAGAATTCCAAGAAAGGCGACTTACCGATGCATAATACTATTAAGTTGAGCAAGGATCATTGTCCAGGTAGTGATATGGAAATAGATATGATGATTCGAGTCCCATATGCTTATGCTATAGGATCGATCATGTATAAGATGACATATACTCGACCTGGTGTGGCTTATGCTTTGAACAATGTTAGCATGTATCAAGGTATTCCTAGTTTAGCTCATTGGAGTGCAGTGAAAAACATTCTTAAGTATTTACGGAAAACAAAAGATATGATCTTAGTTTTTGGTGGCAAAGATAAACTTAAGGGGAGTGGCTATAATGATGCCAGTTTTCAAACAAATCGAGACAATAGTTATTCATAATAATGGTGGAGTGGTGACTTGGAAATTTTCCAAGCAGCAAACAGTTGCTGATTCTACTTGTGAATCAGGGTACATCATAGTAAGTGAGTTAGTAAAGGAACCATGTGATTAAAGAATTTTAGTAGAGATCTTGGATTTTTTTTCCATTTATCCAAGAGCTAATGTACATATTTTGTAAGAAAAAAGGTTCGGTGGCTTTGACTAAAGAACCAAAGGATCATGTTAGATCTAGGCACATCGAAAGGAAATACCACTACATCAAACATGAAGTCGAAGAAGGCGCATTTGTGGTGAATTGTGAATCATCATAGGATAATCATGTTGATCTTCTTACAAAGGGATTAAGAGAGATTAAGCACTTCAAGCATGCTAGGAGCATTAGGTTGAGAGATGATGTTAGATTCTAGATTTTAGTAGTTAGTTGATATTTTGAAACAATGTAACAATAATAAATTATAATTTAATGGTGGTTAACTTAATGGAGATTTACTTATGTTCAAAGTGTGTGATACCATTTTTCAATTAGTTTATTATGTTGTTTTACTTCTCATGTTTTACTTCCATAATATTAATTTATTCGAAATATCACAGTCAGTCATACTTAGGGAGTAAGTATTGATTTAAGACTCTCATGAATAATTCGTATAGTGTCCATAGGGATAGGAAATTGCATAGGATTGTTGCAATATTCATGAATACTTAGAAAATAAGGATTTTAAATATTGGTTAAATTTGTGCTTAGATATTGCTTCGTGGATTTATTCACAAGTAATTCTACGATGATAATATTTTATATTCTTAATATATATATATATATATATATATATATATATATATATATATATATAGAGAGAGAGAGAGAGAGAGAGAGTCAAGATCAAATAAGAAGGAAATTTTTGCTAGGAAGGTAAGAAGTTTTTTTTCTACATTTTTTTTTTCGCGAACAAACAAAATGAATCATTAGATGATTCACAAGAAAAAATTCTCAAAAAAACATCTTGATGATTCATTTATATAATGATTTTGTTGTTATTCACTAAAATTGTCATAAAAGTGGATTTTTTTCTTAATTTATTTAAAAATGAATCATATAGATGTTTTTTTGAGAATTTTTTCTTGTGAATCATCTTACAAATGAATCATCTAGTGATTCATTTTTTTTGTTCGTTAAAAAAATATGTAGAAAAAAACTTCTTACCTTCCTACCAAAAAAAATTTCTTACCAGATCTATATCCTATATATCTACCCATCTAAACTAGTTAATATATATATATATATATATATATATATATATATATATATATGTATGTATGTATGTATGTATATATATATATGTATATATATATATACATATGTACATATATATATACATATATATATATATATATGTATGTGTGTGTATATATATATATATATATATATATATATATATATATATATATATATATATATATATATATATATATATATATATATATATATATATATATATATAGAGTCAAGATCAAATAAGAAGGAAATTTTGGTAGGAAGGTAAGAAGTTTTTTTTTTTACATATTTTTTTCGCAAACAAACAAATTGAATAATTAGATGATTCATTTGTAAGATGATTCACAAGAAAAAATTGTCAAAAAAAACATCTCGATGATTCATTTATACAATGATTTTGTTGTTATTCACTAAAATTGTCATAAAAATGATTTTTTTTCTTAATTTATTTAGAAATGAATTATAAAAATGTTTTTTTGAGAAATTTTTCTTGTGAATCATCTTACAAATGAATCATCTAGTGATTCATTTATTTTGTTCGTCAAAAAAATATATAGAAAAAATTTTTTGATACCTTCCTACCAAAAAAAATTCTTACCGGATATATATATATATATATATGCTTGGGTGCTTTTAAAACTATTATAAGCATGGATTTACTTATGTAACAATATAATTTGGTTTTCAAGTATATTTAAGGATTCTCTACAAAAATAGTTTTAAGTATGGATTTACTTACACAAAAGATGCATTTTGACTTTCAAAGACTCTTTGCAAACACACTTTTAACTATTGTTATACATATAAAGAAAAAACTTTTTAGAGAAATTAAATTGCCTCCTACCTTTTATACCTACAATTATTCCTACCCACTAAAGTTATGACAAATCATCATTCAATTTAATTGTATTTGATATATTCCTAATATAGCCTTAATGAGTTAGTTAAATAAATATGGAATGATGACACTTGTCACAATTTTATTGGGTAGGAACATTTGTAGGTATAAAAAGTAGGAATCAATTTAATTTCTCAACTTTTTATACTTTTTTGAAAGTATTATTATCGTTAGCAGAAAACTTGTAACTCTCACCAACCTTGTGTTGACTATGAAAATACATGTATTCTCAGAAAATGTATCCCATAATCGGTCATTAAATTTCAGACTTTTTTTTTTCCTAGAATCCATAATATCCGTCTGGAATTCGGAATGTTGGTCCGGAATAAACGGAAAATTTCTTTTCTTGTAATAA